CGAACAACTCAGTTTTCCATTGTTTCTTGCATTTTCAGTGAACTTTCTAATATTTTCACAAACCCTGATGACATCTAGACATTTGATAATCCAACAATGTGGCAGTGAGTCAAATGCTTTTTTGTAATCAATCCAAGTTGTATAGAGGTTTGTTTTGTGGCTTTTGCAATTCTCCAGTATCATTTTGTCAATCAGAAGCTGATCTTCCGTGCCCCTACTTCTTCTTTTATTGCCTTTTTGTTCTACTGGCAAGATGTTATTTTCCTCCAAGTAATCCTGGATTTGATCAGCTATTATTCCTGTCAGCAGTTTGAACATTGTAGGCAGACATGTTATTGGCCTGTAGTTTCCTGGTATTATCCCTTTTGCTGGATTTTTCTGTATCAAATATGGCTTCCCAGTTGTTATCCATTAGCTGACGTTTTCTGTTTGTAGCATCTCATTGAATTTTTCACCCATTTTTGAGTGCATGCTAATCAGATATTTAAGCCAAAATCTGTGCCGTTGATCATTGCCAGGTGATATCCAATTCTTGACTTTCTTCACTCTTTCAGTGATCATTTCTGTTGTTATTTCCAAGGTTCTCATTTTGTTCTCCGAAAATTTATTTTCAAAGTATTTTCTCAAAATTTCTACCTCTTCTGTAGTTGTTTTGCTTCCAGCTGCCCTACAGGCCCATGACCTGGTTGCTCAGCAGTGGGTCCTGGTTCCTGTAGCCCACTTGTTGACGGGTGCCCAGGAGATGCACTTGCTGCGGTCCTTATTATCCTGAATGACAACCAAGTCAGTATAGACTTCGTTAGTTTGTTTCACCATATTTAAATGGGTTGGGTGCACTTAGTTCTACTTCTCAGCTGAGACCACTCTGGCTTGGTTGAACCTGTTGGTAGTTTACACTACCACCAGCACAGCTCTCAATATCTTAGAAGCAGTTAAGCCCCCCGCCAATGACACAACGGCACCTGATGGGAGGATAATGATGATGATTAGTATAATTAATGCATGTAAGATCTTTCCCATTTGAGGATGAGTTTGCCTATTTCTTTGCTGGCTAAATTCAAGATAATGCTCCTTTCAAAACACCTCATGTTCTAGATCCAGTATTACTGTTAAGAGCACCTTTGTCTTTCTTTCTATTCCTTTTTTGGGAGGAAAGCTCTTCATTACAGGCTTTTGCTGCAAATCTCTGCAAAAAAAAAAAGCAAAAAAAGAGCAACCAATGTGATGTTACAGAACTAAGAGATGGCACCTTTCTTTGTAAATGAACGGTCAAGATGTTCCTTTTCAAGCCTTATACCTCTTCCTTTTTCACTGAAACAAATATTAAAACATGAGGTTCATAACTGCACACATGCTCTTGGCTTTTGTGGTAGTTTATTCAGTTGAAAAGCAGTTATGAAACTTTATCGCTGCCTGATCTTGATAAAGTTTGTGGAAGAGGTTAAACAAAGGCAAGATATGGGCTGTTCCCATCATTCCTTGGAATGGGATGAATAGAGAGCAATCACCCCAGGCACACATTTCTCCACATAAAAACACTTATTACGCAACACAACCAAGAATAATAATTCTTGGTACCTCGATTTTTAGGCCTGTTCCTGAGGTTATTTGGGGCACTGTTTCAGAAAATTGCATTGGATAGCCACATCAGCTCTAATTTCTTCAATATGGTTATCATGGCAACTGGTAGATGACATATTCTACAGCTCAAAAACTTGAAATACAGACCGTATAGGGGAAACTGGTGCCATTTCTGGAATCAGGTTAAATATACCCAGAAATAGGACTAACATTTGAGGTGCCAAAATGTGTGCTGCCCAGTATTGTTTATTACTGTAGCTCTGCAGGTTACTATAGTATTGGATGTTGAATTTGAATGCTTTGATATCATCATCATAGACCACGACATGCAAGTATGGATAAGAACAAACCACTGACCACCTACTAAAATGCAGTCTGAGCCCTGCCACATGCACTATGGAGGACCTTCTTACAATAATACCAAAGGCATTACAAATGGCCAGCTTCTGGTCAAAGGAAATTTAGCATAATTCCAAGTGTTTAACTTTGTAGATTTTGATACATTATAACTGTATTCTCAATTTGCTTCTAACACAATAAATAAATAAATAAATAAATAAATAAATAAATAAATAAAATCATAGACTATCATTTGTGGCTGAGTATGATTCCCTTCCAAGTGTAGGGTCTTAACGGTGGATCTGCAGATGACTGTATAGACCTATTCCTGATTTGCATGTTCTTTTGCAGTGAGAACATAGATTTCCAGATGGAAAGTGGTCCTGACGATTGGCTTGATGCGCCTTCCTTTATCCCTTTCGCCCTTTTATCCTGTACATGTGGCCCGCCCACTGTTATCGGGATTGTGTTTATTGGAATGTTATTTTGTTACTGTATCCATATTTTTTTTATGTAATTTTGATGATGTTGCTTGTTGTTTATGTTTTGGTTTTATTTTGCTGTAATATGTTGACCGGGCTTGGCCCCATGTAAGCCGCTCCGAGTCCCCATTGGGGAGATGGTGGCGGGGTATAAATAAAGTTTATTATTATTATTTTATTATTCAACCATGTTTAGACTCTTTAATAATTCATATGAGGACCTTTAGATTTTTTTTATTAGAACTTTAGAATTCTGAGATCGAATATGCCACTTTACCCACAGCACTGCTTCTTAATCTGTGGGCTGCAGCCCACCAGTGGGCCATGAGGATAAAAATCTGGTCCGCGAGCCTCCTTCCTCTTTATTTTATTTTGTTCCCACTCTTTCACGTTGAGTCTGCCACTCCCTGCTGCTGACCATGGCATATGTTCTATATCAGAACTAGAGCTGATGTGGTCTAGCCAATACAATTTTCTGAATCAGCACACCAAACCAAATCTAAAAGTTGATCAAAAACTAATTTGTAACCCTTTTGGTACTAATGTTGGAGAGTGGCTCCTGGTCAAAGTAGTCAATGGTCAAGTGGTCCCTGGTCAAAAAAAGGTTGGGAACCACTGATCTACAGCAATTGCTGTATTTTATTGTTTTTACTAGGGAATACTGTATATTGATGACGTGTTGACTGTTTATTGTCTTATCTTTTGTTTTGCACTTGTATTTTGCATGCCACACCTTGAGCGTTCTTGTGAGCCATCCCGAGTCCCTCTGGGAGATGATGGCAGGGTAGAAATAAACTATTACTATGACCTTGCAGCTTCAAAGCCTAGCTGATTGCTGTCTGGGGAGGTCCTTTGTTTAGCTGGGAGAAGGTGGATAGGGAACATGAAAACCATGTTTCAAGATTTAAAAGGTTGCCCCATTGAGGTGGGGAGTGGGGAACTGACTTTCCGCTGCTCTGGAGACCAGGGCACAGGGGAGCAATGGTTTCAAATAGCAGGGAAAGAGATTTGACTGAAAACATTAGGAAGAAATTCCTGATTGGTGGAGACAAGAGACGGGGCCTTTTCAACAGTGGCTTCCTGTCTGTGGAATTCCCTCCCCAAAGACATCAGACTGGCCACATCCCTCCTGTAATTTAGAAGGAAACTCAAGACTTGGCTGTGGGACCATGCATTTGACCATTGAACAGTGGCTTGTATGAAAAAGACATAAGCAATTTTGAAGTGACAACAAATTGACCTGGGATTTAATTGGCGTGTTTTAACAATTGTTTATTTAATGTTTTGTTTTAATGAATTTGTTGATTGTTCTTATCATCATGATGGCACTGAATGGTATTTGCTGTGAGGCTGCCCCGAGTCCCCCCTCGGGGATGAGAAGGGCAGGGTACAAGTATATGAAATAAATAAACAAATAAGAGTGGCATAGGCTGCCTGGCAGTATGATGGGGTGGTGCTCCCGGTGGCGCAGTGGGTCAAACCCCTGTGCCGACAGGACTGAAGACCGACAGGTTGCAGGTTCGAATCAGAGGAGAGGCGGATGAGCTCCCTCTATCAGCTCCAGCTCCTCATGCGGGGACATGAGAGAAACCTCCCACAAGGATGATAAAAACATCCAATCATCCAGGCGTCCCCTGGGCAACGTCTTTGCAGACGGCCAATTCTCTCACACCAGAAGCGACTTGCAGTTTCTCAAGTCGCTCCTGACATGACCAAAAAAAAAAAAAGTATGATGGGAGTCTCCTTCTCTGGAGGCTTTTCAGCAGCGATCCTTTGTTTGGAGTGTTAGCTGTCCTGACTGATTCTTGTCTGGAATTCCCTTTACAGATACATAAACCGCACTGGCCTAGTTTCCAACAGACTTCTCAACCTCTGAGGATGCCTGGCATAGTTGTGGGCGAAACGTCGAGAGAGAATGCTTCTGGAACATGGCCACACAGCCATGAAAGCCTTCGACAACACACTGTCCTATTTGCCTCTCTCTCTCAGCCCTTCTCATCGGGGCGCGCGAACGCGCGTGAAGGAGCCACGCTGAGGAGAAAGGCCGAAAAGCGAGGGAATGGAGACTGCCTTCGCGCTTGACAAAACGCCCAAGCGCCAGTCTTGCCTGAAGAGAAGGCTGGAGGCACCGCGAAGAAACGCAACGGCTCCCCCGCAATGGCTCCGCGTGAGGGAGGGAGGGAGCGAGGCAGACAAGCACAAGGCGAGGCCTCTGGGAGAAGCGGCCACGCGCCTCTCCGCCTCGCTCCCTTTCCATTCAGGCCACAAGAGGGGAGGGGGCGGCGTTAGGAGCCGCCCTCTACCGCGCGAGCAGCGGAAATAACTGCCACTCCCCGCCCCCTCCCCCTCCCAAACATTCCAGAACCTTCCGCGGCGTAGCCTACAGCTTTAGGAGGAGAAGCGAACAGAACATGCGCGGAAGGGAAAGCGACATTGAGAGAGAGGAGAGAGAGGAGGGGAGAAAAGCGCATGCGCAGAGTAGGTGGGTGCAGGGGGATGTAGCCGAGGAGCAGAGAAAGGAAGGAGGCGCCGGGGCACGTGACAGCCCGCAGGCGAGGAGGCGGCGGCGGCGGCGGCGCGCGGGGCCGGCTCTGCGCAGGCGGCCTGGGAGGCGCGCGCCGGCGACGTCACATGGGTGGGTGCGTGCGCACGCTGTCCTCTCCACGATTTGATTCTGGAGCACAACAAGACAGGGAAGGGGGGGGGGAGCGCGCCCATGGCTTCGCTCGGTGACTGATTGACGGACTGACTGGGACGGAGACAGGCCCCGGATGGCGGGAAGCGCCGAGGAAGACTCCGAACAAGGTCTGTCTGGCGTGCGGCCGTGAATTCGGGAGTGGAGGATGGAGGAGGAAAAGGTTCTCTCGCGCGCAATTTTCCCGCGTGGCTCGCACACATCTCCTGCCTATGGAGGAGGCTGGCAAAAATGGACACCGGCGGGCGAGGGCCTTGTCGGAGGCCCTTGGTGGGGGGGGGGGGGAGGCGTGATCGCGTCGTTTCCTCGCGTGCCATGGAGGCGCATCTCGCCACGCGGGGCGCTCCCCATTCGAAGCTTGTTGGCCTCCGAGGGGCCAGGGGAGCGGGGGTTGTTATGGGGCGCCGGGCGCTTTTGCTCAGGCCTTCCCTCGGCCTGTTGGTGGCTGAAGTCCCCCGGCTAATCACCCCACGCAGCTCTGCTTCCGGCCGGGGCCGGAGGGAGGCCAGCAAGTGTTGTTCCTTGGGACGGAAGGCTTCCTTCCTACTAGAACAGTGGAAAGAAATACATAATCAAAAGAAAACGAAGGTGGAGGCGCTTTAAGGCAGTGTTTCTCAACCTTCTTAATGTCGCTACCCCTTAATTCAGGTCCTCACGTTGTGGTGACCCGCAACCATAAAATTATTTCCATTGCTACTTCATAACTGTGATTTTTCTACTGTTATGAATCGTGATGTAAATATCTGATATTCAGGATGCATTTTCATTCACTGGACCAAATTTGGCACAAATATATGCCCAAATTTGGTGGGTTTGGGGAGATTAATTTTGTCATCTGGGAGTGGTAGTTGCCGGGGTTTATAGTTAACCTGCAATCAAAGAGCATTCTGAACCACACCAATGAAAGAATTGAACCAATCTTGGCACAGAGAACTCCCATGACCAACAGAAAATACTGGAAGGGGTTTAATGGGCATTGACCTTGAGTTTGGGAGTTGTAGTTCACCTACATCCAGAGAGCACTGTGGACTCAAACAATGATAGATCTGGACCAATACTCATTATTCTCTGATGTGAACACTGGTTTAGTTTTGGGGAAATAGACCTTGACACAGAACTCCCATGACCAACAGAAAATACTGGAAGGGTTTGGTAGGCATTGACCTTAAGTTCTGGAATTGTAATTCACCTACATCCAGAGAGCACTGTGGACTTAAGCAATGATAGATCTGGACCAATACTCAGTATGCTCAAATGCGAACACTGGTTTAGTTTGGGGAAAATAGACCTTGACATTTGGGAGTTGTAGTTGTTGGGATTTATAGTTCACCTACAATCAAAGATTGTTCTGAATCCTACCAGCGATAGAATTGGGCCAAACTTCCCACACAGAATCCTCATGACCAACAAAATACTGTGTTTTCTGATGGTCTCTGACACCCCCTCGAACCCCCCCCCCCCCCCGGGGTCCTGACACCCAAGTTGAGAAATGCTGTATTAGGACTTCCAGGGCTGTGACCACATCGCTTTTCCAAGTGTTTTGTGCTTCAGGTCCCAGAATCCCATATTGTTGGCCAAGACAGTTGAGGCTTCAGGGACTTGGAATTCCAAAACACTTGGAGATCTAGAGCAGGCATGGGCAAACTTCAGCCCTCGGGGTGTTTGGACACCAAGTCCCTCCCACAATTCCTAACAGCCGATAGTGTTGTTGAAGTCCAAAACACCCAGAGGGCCAAAGTTTGCCTGTGCTGGCCTTATAGGATTCTGTAGCATTCAGTCAAGGCAATTAAATGGGTGTCAAAACTGCATTAATTCTGCAGCGTGGAACCACTCCTGGTCAGAAGGTCACAAGCACTGATTGGCTGAATATTGGTGGATTGTTTCAGAATCTCCATCTTCAAGCATGTTGCGGGACCACTTGTTTGTAACCTTGTCTTAAGTGTGAAAAGTTAAGTCTTAGGATTCATCTGATGTTCTTTCTTTCTATTTAGTACTTTAAACAAATGTTAACAATATTTGTTGATCAGCACTAACATCAAGCAAAATCATAATATTTCAATATAATATATTCTTACTAGTATTCAAATCCAGGGAGCGGGGTGAGCTCCTGCTGTTAGGCCCAGCTTCTGACAACTTAGCAGTTCGAAAACATGCAAATGTGAGTAGATTGATAGGGACCACCCCAAACGGGAAGGTAACGGTGCTCCATGCAGTCATGCCGTTCACATAATCTTAGAGGGGTCTATGGACAACGCCAGCTCTTCGACTTAGAAATTGAGATGAGCACCACCACCAGAGTCGGACAGATGTCAAGGGGAAACTTTTACCTTTTTTATTCATTGATCTATCTCAGTGGTTCCCAACCTTTGGTCTTTCCTGTGTTTTGGACTTCAACTCCCAGAAATCCCAAACAGTCTGGGCTTCCAGAAATCTCAGCCTATTAGGAATTGTGGGATCTAAAGTCCAAAACATCCAAAGGGCCAAAGGTTGGAAACCACTGATGATCAGTATGTTGAGTGAGAGGCAGTGTCCTGTAACGGTTTGAACATTGGGCTATGGCTCTGGAAACCAGGATCCAAATCCCCACTCAGCTATGGAAACCCACTGGATGTCCTTGGGGAAATTTCATTATCTAAGGACTTGAAATTATTTGAAGACACACAACAAGAAGTGTATGTGCAGGTTTTTCAAAATGGTACTGCAACAAGTTAGATTGTGATACAATAAAAGCATAAAGCAGCTAAAATCAGCGTCAGAATTATACATGTTGAGTGCTCACTTACTTAGGCAATCCCTCGTTGGCCGAGTAGAATAGTCTTCCGGGGCAGTATTCTTGTTGGTTCCTTAGGTGGCTGTGGCGCCCTCTTCTTGATCTGCATCTTCTCCTGCAGTGAAGGCATTGGTTTCCAGGTGGAAGGCAGTCTCGGTTGGGGTTGGCTTGACGCGCCTTCCTCTTGGCACGTTTCTCTCTTTCACCCTCCATTCGTGCCTCTTCAAATTCTGCAGCACTGCTGGTCAAAGCTGACCTCCAGCTGAAGCGCTCAAGGGCCAGGGCTTCCCAGTTCTCAAAGTCTATGCCAGAGTTTTTAAGGTTGGCATTGAGCCCATCTTTAAATCTCTTTTCCTGTCCACCAACATTCTGTTTTCCATTCTTGATTTCGGTGTAGAGCAACTGCTTTGGGAGATGGTGGTTGAGTATGCCTTATCCAAAATGCATGTACTCTGCATATGGGCGCTTGCTTTGGCACCACCTATATTAAAATTGGAATGATGCAGAGAACATTCTCATGGTCTCTGCACAAAGAAGGCAGGCACATTTGTGATATTTTAGTTTTTTAGGCTGAGCCAGGGATGTGCTGTGAAGTGGTTTCTATATGTGAATAGGTTTTTAATTATTTTATTGGTTGTAACTTCATTTGTAATACACAGTGTTTAATCAAATTTTAATGTGTGTATTTTTTAAGGTTTTGTTTGCATGTTTTTAAGGTTTTAAATTATTTAGGGTATTGTTTTTAGTGTTAGCCACTTTGGGTCTGTCTTTAGAGATAGAAATAATAATAACAATAATAATAATACCAGAAGATTTTTTGAATTTCAGATATTTTTAATATATTTGACTGCTGGTATTTGCATATATGTACATGGAGATGTGACTTAAGTCTAAATATTAAATTAATTTATGGTTTATTTACACTTTATATACATGACTTGAAGGCAACTTTATAAAATATTTTTAATAATTCTGGGCCTGAAGCAAAAATTGTGTACATCAAGCTAACAGAAAGCAAAGGTGTCATTATCTCAGCCACCTATGTGGGCAGTTATGCACTTTGGAAGACTTTGGATTTCAAATTAGGGATGTACTTTTTTCCTATGCTGATGTATATAGAAATAGGAGCAAATATTTCCTCCATTTTAGTATCTGAGGTGTGAATTACATATGAAGGAAAAATAGTCATTTTGGAAAGATTCTGTAGATTACTGTTTTTAGCATTCAAAGTAAAGTGCATTTCGTTGTGTGTAGACTTCAGTGCACGAGTCTTTTAATTTTTATAGTAGTAAAACTATACCAATAGAATTCAGTGGTGCTGCTTATCTAAAACATTGCAGTGCCATGGTAGGATAACGTTTTAATTAAAGATACACTGTTGCATATTATTATACAATGTACTCTATTCTAACTACATTTTCAAAGCCAGATGATGTAAACATTGTGCTGCTATCTCAAAAATATAATCATTCTTAAAACTGTTACATTGTTTTTAAGAGAGAAAAATTAGAAAATCGACGTTTATCATACCTTAATGAGAATTTGGATTCAGGCTTCAATATTTCTGTTCCTTGTTTTAAAAAAAATGCTGCTGGATTCATTCAAGCACTCATATATTTAGTGGTTGGTTAACATTAGTTAATGTCAATGTTTGGCACGTTCAAGGCATGGTGGGAAGATTCCCCTCTTCCTTTGTGGCTGAAGGTGATAAAATAACCCAGGATAACAGGATTAATTGTGTTTCTAGTCAGAGTATCTCCATGCATTTATCTTTCCATATGATAATGCATTATGGCACCCTATTGAGGTAGGCTTACTATGTTGTGAGTTCACAGTTTTGCTGATACTAGAGGAAAATTTTGTTTGAGAACTTAGTGTCCAACATATCATTTCAATAGTTTATTTTATAAAGAAACTTAAATGGAGGCGAATTCTGTCAGAGTTTGTGTTGATTGATTTTTCCCTAATGTAGTTGCATGATGTTTACTTGTTTACAAATTAATGTTGCAACTACACTTCTGTGGTAGCTTTTAAAACTATGTCTTGTCAATGTTACAACTTCTGCATCTTATAAAAATTACCAAAACATTTCAAAAATGAACATTAACTTGCAAATGATTTTTGTTTCCATGGTTACTTTTGATTAGATGCTTGGTTTTAAACTTAATTTTTTGTAATGTCAAAGAATCATTTACTAAATTTTTCAGAATTGAAAATAAGGTATGAAGGGCAGGATCTGGCTATATTTGCAGGGTTGGAAGTGACTTTCTTTTCCATACTCTTAACTGTTAGAGTGTGGAAAAGAAAATCACTTCCAACTGTGCAAATATAGCCAGCTCCTGCCCTTCATACCTTATTTTCAATTCTGAAAAATTTAGTAAATGATTATTATTAATGTTGGGAAAATACTGCAAGTCCCAAATGTTGCACCTGCTTACTGGGACAGTAAGATTATATCTCCCTATATAAGCCTGCCTGAGATCTTTTGAGGAATGACTTTTTCTTGGTCTGATTGTCATAGGCTTATTTGATGCTGTTCTCAGCTTCTTCCACAAAAAGCAAGGCTAGTCCCTTCTGCTTTCCTTCCACTTGCTGTGGAAGACATTCTTGTAGCTTTAGGTGGTTATGCAGAAGAGTATTTTAGTCATGATTGTGTGTTGTACTTCTGTTGTCATTTTCTTATAAAAAAGTTTATAATGCTCTAAAATTTGTTACTATATTTTATAATATTCTAATAATACAGGTATATTTTAGCCGCTTTGTTTCCTATGTTGGCAGTAAAGAAGGCTATTTTAAAAATAAATAAATAAATATGTAAATGATTATGGAATGTGACTAAACTGATGATAGCAGTGTATTGTTTGTTGCATATGCTGGTGAGATCCTTTTAAACGTACCATGTTTTCTTACACTGCATAAATGTTCGTTACATACTGGTTTTGGTTTTTTCTTCTCAGTATGACCAACATGAAAGAAAATCAATTCGCACTGTGAATATGGAGAATTTTGTAGAAATTTCATCACTTCCCAAAACTGGGAAGCAATCAATCAGATTAGGAAACCAGAATGGTGGAACAGTTCCAGGTGCTGCACCTGCTCTTTATGTCCTTGTAAAACAAAGTACAGGAAAATCTGACCAGGGAAATTCGGTTTCAAATCAAGATGACTGTGGTCTTCCCAGTAGTGCAGCACAACCAGTGTCTAAAGCAAAGAAATACCTTCCAGCTGAGTGCACCTCAGGAAACGTTACCGTTACCTTGGACAACAGCAATATGTGGAATGAGTTTTACCATCGTAACACTGAAATGGTGCTGACTAAACAGGGAAGACGAATGTTTCCGTATTGTCGATACTGGGTAAGAGGTCTGGAATCCAATTTGAAGTATATCCTGGTAATGGATATTTCTCCAGTTGACAATTTTCGCTATAAGTGGAATGGCAATAATTGGGAGCCCAGTGGGAAAGCAGAACCTCATGTCCTAGGAAGAGTTTTTATTCACCCAGAATCCCCTTCTACAGGATATTATTGGATGCGCCAACCTGTTTCTTTCTACAAACTGAAAGTAACTAATAATACCTTGGACCAGGAAGGCCATATCATTCTACACTCTATGCACCGCTATCTACCTCGGTTACACCTTGTGCCTGCTGAACAAGCCACAGAAGTAATCCAGCTGAATGGTCCTGATGTCCATACTTTCACTTTTCCACAGACAGAGTTTTTTGCTGTGACTGCCTACCAAAACATCCAAATTACACAACTAAAAATAGACTATAACCCATTTGCCAAAGGATTTAGAGATGATGGCCTGAGCAGTAGACTTCAGCGTGATACAAAGCAAAACGATAGATCAGAACAGGAAGGAAGTAGTTTAACTAATTCTCCCAGCAATTATAAACATCCCAATGAAGGTGATATTTTGGATCCAGAGCAGCAAGGTCTAGATACATCATTTCATGATATGTATAACCCTGATTTGGAGAGAGATTCACTCAGCCCATATCATGATTCCCTGGGTTTTATGGAGACAGACATCCATGGATGTGATATCCCATCATTAAAGCAGGAGGCATCTGAAAGGTAGGATTGTATCTTACTTTCTTTACAACAAGTATTAATATTTTAGAAAGCTGTCGGATGCATTATCAACCCTTAAATGCCATTCTGTATTGCCATAATATAGGAGGTCCTAACAATAATAGTAAAAAACGTGAACGCCTGGTAGTCAGATTTTATGCGGGATGAACCCAATAATGATGGTTCACTCTTTGTGCCATCTTGAGAGTGAAACATATTTTGCAGAATAAAAAATGAATACAGCAATAATACCCTCCTTTCCATATAATTTATCAGCTTTTCACTGCAGTGCCTGTGGGACTTTTTTCCATACAGTAGAATAGTTCGGACTATTTGGGAAACCGTATCTCCTTGTATGAATCTTTTTTGTTTAGGCAAGCTTTTAAAACAGATACTTTACTCTGACAAATCAGTATAAATTATATAGTTAACATGCTAAATGTGCCAATAACAAATTGAAAATTAAATAATGTAGATAAAATAGAAAACTTACAATAATTAAAAGTGTGTGGGACTCGGGAATTATTTAGAGAATGTACAGGGTGAGGCAGCATAACTTCCTTTTTTTTAAATGCGCACCATTCAGTCGGTTGAAGACATAGCGGAGTGCTAGGGGTCTCGTTCGAGAGGCGGGAGTATAAAGTTTTGTCCTGACACAGTTCAGTCGCCATCATGCGTTGGAACAGTGAGGAGCGTGCTTTTGCCGTTGAGGCCTACTTTTCGAGCGGATTTGGAGTGGCCGGCCCACTCTCCAGATTTGGTCCCTTGTGTTTTTTTTCAGTGGGGTTTTTCAAAATCCTGTGTTTATGTGAACCGTCCAAGGACCCTACAAGATTTGAAGACCAACATCCAGGAAGAAATTGGCAACATAACACTTGCTATGCTGGCAAGGGTCATGACAAACGCCAGAAATCGGTTTACTCAGTGTATGGAGAATGGGGGACGTCACCTACCTAATTTGATCTTCAAAACTATGTAAAATAAAACTTTAGGTATGCACATATATTATAAAAAAATTCTGATTCATACAATGGGTTTTATTAAGTTTTGAAAAAAGGAAGTTATGCTGCCTCACCCTGTATTAAGATTAAGACTGATATTTAAAATGTAATTTCTGTAGTTTATTGTGCAAAGTGTATGTCCAGGAGGAAAGGACAGAGGGTGGGAGCAGGGTCGCAAAAATAAATAAAAAATGGCATAATAAAAAAAACTTGGAAAAAAAGATATTCCCAGGGAATATTTGGACTTGAATATGGTTTTACTAACTTTGATCTAATATGGGATGGGCAGGTTTTTTTTCTTTTGAGATCTGTTTTTCTTTTATGATAGTTTATGGGAGAGCATACATAGGTAATTGATAAAGTTTAAGCCAACAGTGGACAGCACCAGAATTGTATGAGTTCATTTTTCCAACTCTTTGGAATCTGATTGGTTAGTCCTAACTAGGGAAGAGCCATTGTAAAGTAGACCCATTGAATCAGTTCTGTTCTGAATCAAAACATAGATACAATAGATTCTCAAGTAACTGGAACTCAGTCAACTGAAACTTTTAAGCAATCAGCAAAAATGTTACTAAAATTGCATAGTGCATTCGCAAAACTGTTTTTATAATACAGTAAAACTGTTATGTTAAGTTTGTCTTTACTAGTCTTAATACGCTTTTAATTGCTGTATTTTAATATTAATATTAAGTCAATACAGAGTTTATGGTATGGTATAGTGTGGGATATAGTAGTAGTTAGGTGTATTTTTAATAGTAACTATCAGAATAGTAGCAATCAGAAACTATCCAGCATCTGTCAATCCCCATGGGTGCTGGTGAACTGAGGGTAAATACAATTGATTTTGTGGATCTACCATTGAGACTAGCAAAATCAGTTAGGTCTGTTTCTATCACACTCTTTTTATCTTTTGTCATCTTTTCCCCCACAAACACATGAATTGATTATATGCAAAGTTTAAGGACATAGGTTGTCTACCTTAATCTATGAAAGGGTTTGATGATGCTTCTGTTATGGTCTGTTAGATTCATTAATCTGTTAAACACATTTGGTATGTGCTACAACTGAGACTAACACTCAGTTGCATTCTGCCTATCCTTGAAAGAGATAGAGCAGGCATGGGCAGACTTCAGCCCTCCAGGTGTTTTGAATTTCAAATCCCACAATTCCTAACAGTAGGCTGTTAGGAATTGTGGGAGTTGAAGTCCAAAACACCTGGAGGGCCAAAATTTGCCCATCCCTGTGATAGAGGAATGCTACCAAGAGAGAATATTTTACAGTAATCTGAGATGTACCTGTTTTTACATAGTCTAATAATAATAATAACAACAACTTTATTTGTATCCCGCCCCATCTCCCTGTAGTGACTTGGGGCGCCTTACAAGACAATGTATGTGTGATTTATTTAAATGCATTTTAAATGAAGAAAGATAAATTGGGTTTTTAAATTGCATTTTCCTTGCTTAACTTTTTTTTTTCTGTCATGTCCAGTCCAATAGCTAGCCCTTGTGAAAACATCACTTGTGTGGCATCCCTCTTACAGTCAAATGGAGACATTAGTGCTGTGGTTAAGGAGGAACCAGAAGATGACTATGATTATGGACCAAATGTTTCTGTGGAAGGGATAAGTGTGAAGCAGGAAGACGAAGATGATATATCAGAGGACTATCTCAACAGCAGTGATTCTTTGCTAGAGCAGCAGCTGAAGAAACACAAACAGGAAACTGAATCCCATAAGCGACCCCATGATAGTCAGTTGGGTGTTGCCAGAGCAAAAATGTCAAAGTTGGATAGTGGGAAGATGCCTGTAGTGTACTTAGAACCCTGTGCAGTCACTAGAGACACAGTAAAAGTCTCCACTCTTTCACCAGTCATTGTGTCATCTAAGAGTGAACAGTCTTCTTTGAGCAATTCAGTGGAATCCTTTTCTACTTGTTTTGAAAATAGTTTTATCACCAATCAGTTTTCAGCTATGAAAGCAAGGGAAATAACAACTGGAAAACAGATATCTGGAGATAACGTGTTGCAAAGATGTTCTTTAGTAGGAGATATGCTCTGGGAAAATACTGAAACTTCAAGCAGTTTTGCCGAAGCAAGTAAGGTGCCTAATTGTAATATAAAGACATCTTCATATAGTGACCCTTTGTTAGCAAAAGTTAAGTCCACTGGAGAAAAGATAAATGCAATAGAGAATATTTCCTGCAAGAATATTACTGGTAACAAAAACCTTGAGTTGCCTGCCCCACGCAAAAGAGGAAGACCCCGGAAAATAAAGCACCTACGAGTTGGAAGACCACCTAAATGCACTGGAAGGTTGATCACAACTGGTTATGCTTCTTTTGGACCTGATGGCAATCATTTGAATGTTAATCCCGATCTTGTGGATGTGGATGGAGTACTCTTTGTATCCTTTGCATCCAAGGTAAATGTAGACCTGAATGAAATTTAGGACCATCATAAATACTTAGATAATATGTGAGAATTGTACTTAAATCACAAAGCAGACTTGTAGTAGTGAACTGAACTGTGATTTTCAACATCTGTTTAACTTATTTTGGTGTTTTATTTTACATTGTAGTGAACTTATTTATTGCTGCCCCTTAAATTGGATTTCAAGTAAAGCACTGTAATTTGCTGCCTATTAGACATTGTTTAAATTGTTAAACTGCCCATGTGAGGAGTTCGCCACGTAGTTATGTCCAAGGTGATGAAGTACATAAATAATTTTATGGTGGAATACAGCATGCACAAATAAGTGCATGTGAAGTCATCCATGTGGTTGAATATCCTGCAGAGTTAGGATTCCAAATTGTGTGAAATTCTTTTCACATAACCCCTGCATATATAGTGGTTTTTATAGTGGTTATTCATATTATACAAATGGACGGCTGCAGACAGAGTTGTATGGGGCATGTGATGTTAGAGCTAGGGCTGCTCAATCTGGCCCCATTCCTTTTTGGATGATAACCACTTTAATAGCACTTTAATAAGGTTCAAGGGTTGTTTTCTATTGTCTAGATATGGACTACTTTAATTGATGTACATTTCTAGTGTTTGAATTGGCCTGTGATTATCACTACGGTAAGCCTAAGGTAGAATTTCATCAAGAGATGTCTTTTATTTTTATTTATTTATTTATTTATTTATTGACACATAGGAGGCTCTCGATATCCACAGTGTGAAAAGAGCTGAAGAAAAACAATTGAAAAATGGGCAGACTGCTTCACTGACTTCATGTGATCAGTGTGTTGATCCAGGCAACAGTGAGGCTTATGTTGGTGAGCTCAGTATTTTAAAAATGCCAAACATAGTTGGGGGATGTATCCTGATTTATCATTTTGTGTAGCACTTTCTTTCTCTGTTATGGTTGATTACTTGAGTTGGCTAATAAAAGTGCTAAACTTTTATGTAGCTTTTAAAATGTCATTTGGGGGTGGGGAAGACAGATAAATAGAGGGATCAGATGCGGAACACACATGGAAGAAGAATTCAGTCTTTTTTCTCGCCTTCTGTGGAAAATCCATTGTTTAAAGGTGGTATATACTTGATGGAGGTGGAGGGAGTCATCCCCCCCCCCCTCAATTGATGTCAGTGGAAGACTTTCTCCCAGCGAGGAATTTTCCGTCGAATTGTTGCTGGGGTTAAAAATGTTAAATTCCCCATTTGCCGGTTCTACTTCTGTTAATAACCTGCTCAGTACAAAGGGCCATCTGACAACAAAGTGTAATCTATATATCCAAATGCTTCTAAGTGTTATTTAAAAAATACAAGTAAAAGGAAGGAGGGGGGTAAAGAATGTAATGGCACTTTTAAGACTACAGTTGATTTTCCACATTAGCAGGTTAAGACCACTGCAAACTAAAAAAAATGTGAATAATTCTAGCGTGCCACACAAAGATATTCTTCAGACCCATTTCCCACCATCAACCCAAGGTCATCACTCCTTTTCCTGGATGCATCAGCCTGAACTTAAGGCCATTCTCCACCCACCAGGTTCTTCCCTGCTTGCTCCTCTTTCTCCCATCTCACTCTCTTCTTCAGCACTGATTCCCTATCATCTAAATATAAGCTTCATCCTGAATTTAAGGCAGGGTGAGGAACTGAAGGAAAGGGTGGTGGAGGGGGCATATAGACAGGGAAGGGCTTTAAGTTCTGGCTAAGGCTGTTGGTGGGGTGATGAGCAATGGAATCCAAGGAAGCGAGAAACTAACAAACTAACTAGCCACATTGAATCACCTTTGGGTTTGAGAAAGGTGGAATCGAAATATCGTAAATAAATAAATAATAAAGAGGTTTTGAAACCTGGACACGGCTTATATAGGAAAGAGGATGTTACCCATAGGAACACATCTTTCATCTCAATGGCTTAAGTGCAATTGTTTGTCCTAAAAAAGTAATAGATTCAACAGGTGTGACCTTAGCAAGTCAATCCTTATATAAGTTCAATTGATTCAGTGGGTCTTCTTTGCTTAGAATTGAATTCAGAGACTAGCAATTGTATTTACATTATGCCCATTAAAGCCATACAAAAATGTCCATTATGATGTTTATGAACTAGCATTTTATCTCACGGGTAATCAGAGTCTTGTTGGGATTTGCTTTGTCCATACCAGTCTAGCTGTTTGAAAAACTAAACCTTAAAATAGCATCTCAACAATGTCTATAGGCATTTTATTATAATTTATTGACCTTCACAAGAACATTGTGAAGGTATAAAATTCATTCTCACATCCAGCTTTGATTTTTTTAAAAAAAAACTTGGGTTGAAAGTGGATGATAGATTCCATTAACTCTCTGCTGTTGAAAAAATACTTTAACTTTCCTAACTGGGCTTCTTTCTTAGAATTTGTGGGAAGCATGGGATGCCTTCAGTAGTAGCTTCCTCTCTGGGTGCAGAGAATGATGGGAAAATAATTGCTGCTTTGGTAAGTGAATATTGATGATATTAATGGATTTAAAAGTTATATATGTATTTGATAGGTGGTCAAATGATACAACAGCTGGAAAAAGAATTATTGGAAGATTTGAAGTCTTTAAAGTACAGACAGGTGATACATCCTAGCCTTCGAGAAGGTAGGTGTAACTTTTATACAGTGATGGTTGTTTTCTGATTGTGCTCATCATAAATGTACTGTTACTTGCTCTGTAGAAAATATTGGGATATCATGTAGATTGTCATTTTTATTGGCATCACAAGATGTGTGGTTTAAAGAGTTTTAATTAGTCTAGTACATGGGTCCTCAAACTAAGGCCCTCGGGCCGGATATGGCCCTCCAAGCTCATTTACCCGGCCCTCGCTCAAGATCAACCTAAGTCTGAAACGACTTTAAAGCACACAACAGCAACAACCATCCTATATCCTATCACATCAGCCAAAAGCCGGCCCACACTTTCCACTGAAATACAAATAAGTTTATATTTGTTAAAATTGTTCTTAATTGTAATTATTATGTGCAGTGTGCATAGGAATTAATTCATTTTTTTTTCAAATTATAATCCAGCCCTCCAACAGTTTGAAGGACTGTGACCTGGCCTTCTCTTTAAAAAGTTTGAAGACCCCCTGGTCTAATATCTCAGATATGCTAATTTTTTAAAAAAAAGTTAAATAATGAAATCATATCAATTCCTAACGTATGACAACCTTCTTCATCACTTGTTACATATGTTGTTGTTGAGCTGAGCTATATTCTTTCATAGTTCTTACAGCTGTGTAAGATTTCTGGCACCATTTACTTGTTATGATGAATTTGCAGTTGTTAAAATAAATCATTGTATAGTTATAGTAGAAGCAGAAATTATTCTAGCCAGTTTCGTCTTATTTCTCCTGGATCTTGGGTAGCATAAATATAAATAACTGTAGCTCTCGAATAACTACTTATTCTGATCATTTGTCTAATGTGGCCAGTGGGTAGATTGTGACTATCATTTTATCAGTATTTATTTCCAGAAGACAATTTATTGCATTTCAACCCACAGTTTGCTCCTAAAATTAGGTTTTTTTACTGAACATAAAGAAGTTTTTAAAAAGTATTACAGTACCTTGTATGTTGCATGTTATCCTTCCATTTCACAAAAACATATATACAAAGTTGCCTTATATTGTTAAGTGAAGTTTAATTGTTGTAAAGATAGTAATGAATAAATGGAAAGGAATAAATGTTACAAGTGATTGTTCTGTTCTCTTAAAATTCTACAGAATGAAATGTTGATAAAGAGGGAAGGTGGTGGTGCATGACTGTATACAAGGTTGATTTATATATATATATTTATATATTGGTGGCATTTTTCTTACAGTGGGGCTAAAGCTGAATTTTGTGGACCCAGCAATGAGCATTGATCTAAAATATTTGGGTGTGCAGCTACCATTGAGTTATTCAGATGACTATACTTCCTGGAAGAATTTGAGAGACAGTTCAACTTCTTCTGGTAAGTCAGTGTCTTCCCTTATGCCATAGTGTTTTAAAAGTTACAAAAGAAGTTCACAACTTTCAAAGACAAATGAAGCATATCTGCTTTGTTGCAATCAAAAATGAACTCTTCCGTGTTCCTGAAAATTAGATGCTTGGGTATAACTCACTTTTCAACAGTTTACCAGTTTACAGTTTACAGTTTACCCAGCCAGTTTACCAGCTGTTAGAATTTCTGGGAGTTGAAGGCCAAAGCATCTGGGGACACACAGGTCGAGAACCAATGACCTAACATAAAACAACAGCAACATAAAACTATCAATTAAATCATGAAACGTAACAACATTTAAACATTAAAACAAGGGATTGAAAAGATGTAAATATAAAAATCACATACCTAGCCCTACATAGAATTGTTTCATTGTGTGATCTCCTTAATATTGATCTAGCCCTGTTCTCAAAAAACCTTATGGGTGTATGCCAGCAGTAAAACTTTTATAGTTCACTTAATGTTCGGTGTGTTGTGTAATTCATTTATGTTCTCAGCTAATACAGTGGTTTGGCTGACATTTGTTTTGTCTCCATACCTTCAGATGCTGGGCTTCCTTTTGTTTCCAGGACTGGCAAGACAAATGATTTCACAAAAATTAAGGGGTGGCGTGGAAAGTTACATAGTTCTTCAAAATCTGAAGGTAAGATAGTTTGGACTTGGGTTTTTTTTTTCTTCATGTGTTCTTGAACATGAATGGAAAGAAGAGAAAATGAGATTGTGTGTTCTGCATGTCAGGAGGGCTTTCCTTGTAGTCACCTCCAATTCTGTGATTCTATGAATTATTTAATTTTTCTTTTTCTGCTGATTGTCTAAATAATTTCTAGTATTTATTTTTATAGAAAGAAAGGGAAAATTAAGGTGCTGAATAGCTAAAATGTGAGGAAGAAAGCTTGCATATATTGACAAATTGCTTTGTCTTGGCATTGGTCTAGAGTTGCTGGATCATGCCAATCTCTCTGTCCCAAGTATTGAATCCCTGAACTGATTTGTATCCACTAATTTTAACTTTAGTTCTGCTGTTAGATAGATCCATGTAATGCTCTTAGAATTTTAAATGTTTACAAAGTCTTCATTATGTTTCTATGCAAAGTGGTAATAGTGAAATGGGTAGTACTCTAAATCTAAACCTATTTTGTGCAATTCTTCAGGTATCCTAATAGAAGGCTCCTTGAAGAACCGGTCTGCCTTTTGCAGTGATAAACTTGATGAGTACTTAGAAAATGAAGGGAAGTTGTTGGAAACAAGCATGGGTTTATCACCAGGAACTTCCAGTTCTCCTGTGGTTTATCAGCTTCCAACTAAAAGTACTAGTTATGTCAGAACATTAGATAGTGTTCTGAAAAAGCAATCCACAGTTACTACTTCTAGCTCTTGTACTCTCACATCTCTTTCTGTGCCTTATGTCAGCAAAAAGAAGCGACAAAAATTAAAAAACAGAAAAAACACTGTGCCTAGAAGCAAAGAAAAGTCGCCTGCAAAATCTGTAATCTCTGTAGGAAAGGAAAAAGGTAACATATCCAACTTGGAAGAGAAAGTCACCAAAACCCAGCCCAGTAGACAAGGAGTAAATGAAATAGAACCCCACATAGTGCCAACCACAGAAGAAAGCATGCAGGTGAAACACATCACTGTGCATCAACCACTTCAGAGTAGTCGTTTGCCAAGTTTATCCAAAACGCAGTTGAAGCTGATGGATTTGGAGGATTGTGCATTGTGGGATGGTAAGCCACGGACCTATATTACTGAAGAACGAGCAGACTTATCTTTGACAACATTGCTCACTGCTCAGGTAAGTTACTTTAATAATAACTTTCCTATACTCCGTATTTCTGAAATTTAATGTAAAGTTTTGCATTCAATGTAAAGTTTTCACTGGGTGGGCTAAAAGAAAAGGCCATAGATCATTGTATTTGTAGAACATCTAGACCAAATGTGGGGAAAGCACAGCCTGTGGCTCACACACAGACCTAGGAAACCGTGTTTAGACATCAGATTCATCCTCGGTTTTAAAGAAATGACGATAAAGACTCAACAGTGGACTGGATGGTCCTTGTGGTCTCCTCCCAACTCTTGTTTCGTTTTCGTGGTTTCTGTGACTCACACAAATGGGTTATGCTGTACCAGTGTCTCTTTCAGAAATTTCACAAGCTTTTTAGCACTAATCTCATTCACTTCCAGATGCCCTACACAAGGGCCTTTCCATTTAACCCCCAGTTCCTTTTCTTCCACTGCTGCAGTATTCATCCTTCTGTAACATTCAAAGTTTGACTTCGACTTTTCAGCTTCTCAGATTCATTGAGTTCCTGGTCAATTTCGAAAGTGGGGATGCAATCTACTTTCAGGCTCCAGAAATGGAAGAAAAGATAAGAACATGCATTCTTGCGACTCCTGACAAATTGCTTCTCAGTTCACTTTTGTACACAGGCTTATTCATCTGTATCGGTTGAAAGTGGTTGCACATCTGGGAGGTATCTTCCCAAGAGGATCTCCTCCTGCTCAGATGTCAGATTTTTCTTACCATTCCACCAATTATTTATTTATTTACTTCGCTTGTATACCGCTCTTCTCAGCCATCAGGCGACTCATTATGTGAAGGCTGCTTCACTTACTACTCATCAGATGTAACAGGCACCTGAGAATCTGTCTGATCTGGATTCTTCAGCTGTGGTTAGAGGGTCCCCCTTCTCAGACTTCTACTTCAAGTGCACCAGCTACAAGATGCTTTGACTGACCAACTGACTTATTTATTTATTATATTTATTTATTTATTTACTGCATTTTTATCCCATCCTTCTCACCCTGAAGGGGACTCAGGGGGCTCACAACAAAGGCATATTTTGATGTCATGAATAGAATAAAACAACTTATACTTAAAATCACATAATTAAAACAATTACTTAAAATCACACAATCCAAAAGTGTATTTCAGGAGCCATTTCATTTGCCACTTGCATTATTCATTATTGCGCTGAGAGATCATTATTGCACTGGGAATCATATCTATATATACCCCTCTTTTACCTGTCAAAGGAGACTCAAAGCAACTAACAATATGTGAATTAAAGCCTAGTCCATACCAACATTAAAACAGGAATAAATATTGGCAGTATTAAAAATAAACAGTTGAAAACATTGAAACAGTTTTAAATACATAAAAATATTGTCTTCCATGCACAATGTAATTTTGGATTTGTTGTGTTCTTTATCACTATCTGAAGTGATGGACAGAGATTAAATATTTATGCTGACTAGACTCTGGAACTTTGTACTGAGATGTCCTATCATTTCCACATTAGTAAAGTATTCCATAATGACTTAAATTTCATAAAGGTACTAGGTATTGTCTAATCTTGGAAGCTAAGAAGGGTCAGGCCTGCTTAGGATTTGAAAGGACACTTCCCCAGAATTACCAGGTAGACCATATTTTAGATAAAGGCAATGGAAACCCACCTTGAAAGTATTCCTTGAAAAAGATAACTAATTGAAATGCATGGTGTTGCTGTAACTTGATGGTCAATTTGAAGGCACATACAAAAATTCTTCTGCTTGGGGTAGTAATTCTACACATTTTTGTAATTTCTTTTGTTTTGATCAGGCTCAGTAACATTTTTTCTAGATGTATTTCACAACATTCATTCTTTAGATATAGTGGTTTTTTCTTGAATTTTATGATTATATGCTGCTGTGATGAGCCTTTTTAATTAAAAGCTTTATTGAAATTTATAAGTTTCTTTAAATTATTACATAAAATATGTGACCTATATTTATACAGCACTTACATTTATTTTATATTATTTCTGGAATTCTTAGTTATAATAAATTTGGTATAGTATTATAGTAAATTCAGTATAGTAACATTTCTAAAATTTACATTTTAGAAAATAGCTATAGTAATCTGATGCAGCATAAACAATAAAGAATCTTATAAAACCTTAGATTTTCAGTTGGTTTTGACTCTTAAAAACTAAATAATAGTCTGTTCTCTGGATTTTGAATGTCAGCTTCCTGTGCAAAATTCTGTATCATGTCTGGAATCTACATGGGCAGTGGCTCTTTTGTGTGTGTGTACAGGTACTTGTCTGAATGCCCATCTGCACTTTTCCAGGCATCACTAAAGAACAAGCCTATCCATAAAATAATGAAAAGACGAGCCCCACCATGCAACAATGACTTTTGCCGGCTTGGATGTATCTGTTCTAGTTTATCTCTTGAGAAGCGTCAGCCTGCACACTGCCGCAAGCCAGACTGTATGTTTGGTTGCACTTGCCTAAAGAGAAAGGTGGTCTTAGTTAAAGGAAGCTCCAAGAAGAAAAAGATTCTGGAGAAGCCTCTGCAGGGAAGGCATATGTTGCCTTGTGGAAAAAAGGTTGACCAGCAAGAGCAGGACATTGAAAAAGAGAAGGAAGAAGAAAAAATGAATGGAAAAGATAAGAAGAAAGAAAACATGCAATATAGTAAGTACGGCTTAGTCATCTTTTCAGGGATTTTAAAAAATTGCATAATGTTGGGAAGGGTATGTTATAGTATATTTTTGAACCAATATGCAACTGGTTTCAAAAATAATTCTAAATAAAATGCTCACATCTGTTGTAGCCATAACACTTTTATCATACCAGTGCATGCAGACTTCTGTAAATCAACTCAATATATGGTTAAGGGAATTTTTTAAAAGAATTTCCTGTACAGACACTTAGAAAACTTTCACGTTTAACTTAATGTGTAGATGGATATTTCTTTTAGGTGCTTGGTAAAATATATGTTGAAAGGTTAAATCAGGACTCATATCCTCAAGAATGAACCAGACTCTAAAACACAATAGCAAAAGTTCATAAAGAATGGGGGAAATACCACAAAGCAGCAGCAGCAGCAGAAGAAGAAGAAGAAGAAGAAGAAGAAGAAGAAGAAGAAGAAGAAGAAGGGGAAGGGGAAGGGGAAGGGGAAGGGGAAGGGGAAGGGGAAGGAAGGAAGGAAGGAAGGAAGGAAGGAAGGAAGGAAGGAAGGAAGGAAGAAAGAAAGAAAGAAAGAAAGAAAGAAAGAAAGAAAGAAAGAAAGAAAGAAGTGGGAAAAATCACTGTGTCATCAGTGTCATGATTTGGCATCCAGGTTTCTGTGATGACCAAGAATGCTTTTGCACATTTAAAATAGGCAATAATATTTGTTTATAACTTTATGAACAGATACTCCAACTGGGAAGTTGACATCTTCTTGGTGCCTTCGCTGCTTGAGAACTGTGATCATCTTTGCTGAAAAAAAATAAAAAAGATTTGATGGCCATTTTATAGATAGCTATATCTTGTATGTTTTTATGCTGTAAGCCGTCTTGAGTCCGCTAGTGGAGAAAGGCGGGATAGAAATTTCCTACATAAATAAATAAAATATCCTATTTATAGTTATATGATACATTTTGTAATCCATGTCTGATTATTATTATTATTATTATTATGTTTATTTATATCCTGCTTTTTCTCTCCATAAGGAGACTCAAAATGGCTAATATTAAAAGCATTACAATACAATTTAAAATATACAAATATTAAAACAGTATTAAATAATGTTAGAATTAAAAACAATTCAGATTAAATCCATAAAAACATTTTAAAAAAACTACAGCAGCCCCTGACATGATCTTAAAAACCTTCTTCTTTAAAAGCCTGACTGAATAAAAAGGGTTTAGCCTACCACCTGAGTCAAGAGGCAGCCACTGAAAAGACCCTCTCTCGTTTTCACTAACCGAGGTTGAGATAGAGGTAGGATCTCAGGGCCTGGACAAGTTCATACAAGGAGACATGGTCAGCCAAATAGTCTGGACCTGAGCCATCTAGGACTTCAAATTCCTAGATGGCTCAGGTCCATCTGGCATAATTACGGGCACTTTGAAGCTGCTGCAACGGGGGGTTGTCCACTCTCTGTAGCCAGCTCCAGTGAGCAACCTGGTTGCAGCTCTTTGGACCACCTGAAGTTTCTGAGCACTCTTCAGAGGCAGCCCCATGTATTAATCATGAATAATCAAGCATTGCAGTAATTCAGACAGGGTGTAACTAAAGCTTGTACCACCATAGCCAGGAACGGGCGCAGTTTCACAAGTTTTAATGGTGCAAAGGCCCTCCTGGATCTACATAATCCATTTCATCCAGAAATCCCTGGAGTTGGTAGGCCACCATATGCTCCAAAACCTTGTTCAAAAAGGGGAGGTTGGACACTGGCTGATCGTTCTTCATTATGGAGGGATTCAGGGATTTTTAATGTGTCTCACAACTGCCTCCTGTAGGCAAGTTGGAATTATACTTTGTTCCAAGGCGGCATTGACTACCACCTTCACCCCCTCTGCCAGTCTTCCTCTGGCCTGTTTGATCAGCCAGGAAGGGCAAGGATCTAGAATAAATATGGCAGCCCTCACCTCTCCAAGAATCCTGTCCACATCTCAGGCTGCACAAATTAAATGGTATCCATCGACCCTGGACAAGCAGGAGCCAGAGTTACATCCATTGGAACTATCAATAACAGCATCCAAGTCGTAACGGATGTGAGCAACTTTTAGCTGTAAAGCCCCATGCAAATTCTATACAGTGGGCTGTCGAATTTTCTCCTTGAGGACTAGTGTGTAATAGTCCTCTGACTACTCAAAACAGCTCAGCTGGATGGGTTGTTGCAGATGCAGTGGTTGCAGCAAGAAACAATTTCTCTGCTGCTTCCATTGCCGCAGAGTAGACTTTCAAATTTGCTCTATCCTGTGCTCGGTCAGATTTGTTTCCGCCAATGTCGCTCTAGTCTCCGTCTCACTTGCTTCATTGCTGCCAACTTCTGGAGCTGATTTGGCTCTATAGGAAATTAACTTTTAAATCTTTTTTCCAGCTTTCTGTGATAGAGAGCCAGAGAAGACTGTTAAGAAAAACTTTCCATTGTGGGTAAAAGTAGATGGAGAATTGGACCCTGAACCAGTTTATATTCCAACACCATCAGCTGTAGAGTCAACAAAACCTGTGACACCACCGAGTCTAGAGGTCTTACCATCTGATGACAAACCTCCAGCCAATGAAGTCAAGCTTGTAACTGGAGGACTCAAGTCATCACGCGTGTACACACCTAGACCCAATCCTGTGGTATGCAAAAGAAATATTTCAGAAACTTCACACTTCTTTTTAATGAAGGCAGCCTAAAGAAAAACTAGATGCTTAATTTTAAAATGTAAATGAAGGATTTCTTTATATGATTGGGTTTCATTTCAATTTGAAATGAAGAGAAAAAGTAAAGACCATGTAAGGTGATGTGGAAGCACATGGAACAGTTCCAAACTGCATTTTTCTTCATGGTGTAGTGACAGGGCAAGACAGTTCACTTCATCAATTTGACATGAGTTGTCCTTGATGAGATGCAGGTTTGCCAGAAGACTGAGCTGTTTTGTGAATTTTCACATGGCAACTCCAGCTTCGGGAGACAGATGTGGTGGCATAAGCTTGCAAATAATTAAAACTGTGAATGTAGATGTCTGACTGTCTACTACATTTTTTTTCTGGGACAGTTGCAGGCTCATAGGTATTGTGGTAAAGTAGATAAAACAGGGCAGAACACTCCCCAAAAGAAATTAGTTCAGCTTGAGGATGTTCAGGTGCAGGAAAATTCCTTCTTTGTGAGTTTACAGGGGACTATCTGAATGGTCATAATTGCAGATAAGCATCCTGTTGTTCTTTGCGTTGTCTGTGCTGCTGCGGTTCCTGTGACTGGAACTTAGTTTTAGAAGCTTATATGATTCTGTGACTTGTAAACTAGAGTTAATGATAGCTGTCTTGCTCTCATCGTCCACTTACATTCCCTTAGCTAAGCTTTGACTTCAGAAGCATTAAAAAAAACTTCACAGTTAAGCTCTGACAGTTTTGACCCACCATGAATCATTTTGAGGGACTGGAATTTATCTAGCTATTTAATAATAAAAGCGGAAGACGTTAATGAAAACTTTCAAGGGATGCTCATTTAACCAAAAGCCTATTTATCTTGTTTTATAGATTCGAGAGGAAGATAAGGATCCTGTTTATTTATATTTTGAAAGCATGATGACTTGTGCTCGCATTCGAGTATATACACGCAAGGTGCAGGAGAAAAGGCAGCACCAAAAGTGTCCTCCAAGTTCTGAGGAACACATTGAAAAGGTAATATCCCTCCCTCTGGCAACTATTAAACACAGAAAGAAAGCTCCCAATGGCACATGATGATTTATGTTTATAAAGGTGGATAGGGACTATGTGGTTAGCATTGTTTACATAGAATTCCTAGAGGTGCTTGGTTCTTCATCACTCTTGAGCAAAAAAGTAACATTATGGACTTGTTAAACAATAGGAAACAGTGAAATAAATGATCAATTCTCACAGTGAAAGGATATAAGGAGTAGGTCTTTCAAGAATCTGTGTTGTGATTTTAAAAAAAAAGCCATTGTACATTATCTCTAGAGTTAGGGGTGAGTAGTGAGGAGATCAAGGTTGCTCCAGAGTATTTTGGGTAATTAGAACAAAACATAATGCAAAGAGCTCCAAAAGGTTCACTCCAGATCTGAAGTAAAGTACAAGTGCAAAGGAATATTTTTGGGGGTAAAAAGTTCTAGCCAGATATATGCTGGTTGAATTTGAAGGCCGAATTCCCATGTATTTTTAATCTTTTCTTTAAATTTCTTTGCTTTGTTTCTAGGAGCATCATCCTGAGGTTCAGCCCACCAAAATAGAAAAGGATAAAGAGCCTGGAGCTAGAGCTCCTGCCTTGAACTTAGCTTCGAAGTCCTTAGGTAGGTATTCCAAGCAGAACCTGTGAAATTTGTAAGGAGGGATCATGGAAGAGATTACTAGCCTTCTTTGACATTTGAGCTCTGGCACTACAGCCACCAATTTTTCCTCCAAGGAAATGACAAAGCAACACTAGAGAGAAACCATAATACTTGGATAAGAATAGTGCAGTCTGAAACATTTATGCAGCCCCCAAAGGGCTCATGTGTTTCTTCCCAATTGTTAAGGCAGTAGTAGAACACCCCAACATGTTTTATTTTTTAACAATAATCTTGTTTAGTCAAAAAGTGGCAGGTTTTATTATTTACATTATTTTGTATATCTGTGTTTTAAAACCATAGTAATTCAAAATAAATCACAAAATAAAGGCAACAGAAGAACTTCATAAGTATAACAACTGAAAAACTTGGAAAAGAGCATTAAGATTTCTCTCTGTCTTTTTGTTGGATTAATGTCCTAAATTTGAACCTATTAGAAAGCTGTTGACATCCAAATATGCTCAGGGATCTCCACACATTCACTTTATTTTTCATATCATCAGCTGCTATTGGCAGTCCCAGCCAGATTTGTAAAAGACACGATGAGTTCCAAGTTCTGATGGAATGAATTGAGAAAATGAGTTGAAATTTGAAAAAATTAAGAAAGATTAATTTGGTACCTGGTTTATTTTTAATGTTATATATTGTATAAATGGACTGACACAAATACTTCTGATTTCACAATAGCAATGAAGGAATTGTTATCTGCTTGTAGGATTATGCTTCCCCCAAGTCATCCCTTTCTGTTATTCATGTGTTTCCCACACCTGTTGCAATGAATAAGGTAGTAACTAAACTATAGTTAATCTTATTAAGTTGCATTCTGCTCTTAATTCATGTAGATTTATGGATCTATAACAATAAGAAGTGTGTGGCATTAGTGGATAAAAAGCATTTTTATCTAAGCTAATCTAAAAAATTGTATTAATCATAATTAACTCAACTTTTTGGTTTTTCTTTTATAATAAAATCCTTTTAATAATGGAGGAACCTCAAGTCCCGGAGGTGAGTTCAGTCATTCTGGAGTCCCTGTTTGTCTCTTTTGGCTTCTCTAGAGTACCATATCTTCTTTTAGTGATACTGTCATTTTTTTCAACATCTTTCATGTTTTTAAGTACTATTCTGACTAACTTTGTATATGTCTTTTCCTATTCTGAAAATACTTAGATATTTGTAGTCACAACTATAAGCTAAAATATACTGGTTTTTTATTTCATGTCCTTGTTTTTGATTATGATCACCATAAGAATGCAGACAATTAGTTAATTTGGTTCTCCAGATGAAAGGGGTTTCTCATCCCTAGAATTGTGTGAGTTAGCAATTTCTTCTTCTTCTTTTTTTTTTTTTGCTGCGTTTGACAGCTGAATACTTTAAAAAAGCAAACTCACACAGATTGCATTGAATAAAATGTAGTTTTTATGTCTATAAAAGTCTTTAACACTTGTACATTTTTGGAAGTCATGACTGCTAAACTGGTTTTCAGAATTCATTTAAAATCACTTTAATATATTACAGCCATGCTGTTTCTGAAACCAAATGTTGCAGATCTGTAGTTATGATAATCTGGGCCCCAGGCCTTTTTTGTGGAAAATATAAAGCACAGTATATAAAGCACAGTCTGGTCCTTAGGTGTCGAGACTGAGTAGATATTGTGTTACACCAGGGTAGATAAGTGCGATGGGATTAAAGACTATGGACTATGATTTTGTTGTATACAGGGGTTTTTTGTAATAAAATTAAGAATTTATAGTTAAAAATAAATTAAAATTAGATATGCATAGGTGTAATAGAATACATTAAGATGAAATTGGTTCTACATTTCATTAGTAATTGAATAAAGAATTTATCTTCATGAAACCCTGTCAAGTTATTAAATCTTCCTCCATTCATTATTAATAATCTCTTACACATCCTTATTTTAAGCTGATATTATATACAAATAAATCTTAAGTGTACTTCAATTGATTTTAATATGAAATCATTTGTGGGCAATCTCATGTTTGAACAAGAAACTAAATTGCCTGTGATGTCAACTATATTGCATTTAGTTGGTTGCCACTGAATTTTAAGAGCACACAACATAGGCATATTTTAATATGGGAATTGGGGACTACAAAACAGAGCCTAGCCTATGGTTACAGTTACACTCAGTGGGATATATTTTTCCTGCCCTGTGTAAGCTGGGCAGGAAACAGAAACAGAAAAAAGCTATGAAAAAAGAAGAATATTTAGCTCTTTTTTCCTATCAGTCTTTTCCCCCAGCCCTTTAAGAAATTATAAATGTTGCTTTAAGCTTTTTGTAAATTTGGGCACTTCTAGGGTTGCAATATTTATTTGTTTTTAATTTGAATTATGTATTTCTTAAACCTGTTTTCATTCTTCCCCAGTGAAGAACAGTGGGCTTTCCTGTGGTGCTGACAATACATCCACTTCTTATGTACACCATACCACTCCAGATGGAATAACCAAGCTGGTTGAGATTATTTCTGACTGCAAATGGGAAGAGGATCGCAATGAGATCTTGAATATCTTATCAGAACATATGAAGAATAAGCTGCCAAAATCCCTCGAAGTAGGAAATTTTGTTATTGATTTAGAAGCTGAAAGCAAAACCTGTGATGAGAAAAACATTCCCATTTATTCTTCCCGGGTGAAAATCTCCATGCTGTCCTCCAAAAACAAGAGTGAAAAGGCCCAAATTGCTGTTTCTGAGCCTTCTGATAATAATTCGTCAACATGCAAAAAGACAGAAAAGAAAATACCGTTAACACCTGCCATGTTACGGGAACAGAGAAAAAAAGGTTTACCTTTTTACGCAAGCCTTTCTCCTGCAGGAAAACTGCTTGCTTACCCACGCAAATCAGGTTGGAGCCGTACAACTTTAGTTCAGGTAAGTTGCTTTTTCTGTTGGTATAAAAGGTCCACCCCCTTTGTGGACCTTTTATACCACTTCGGCTTGTCTTTAAAATACAAAATACAAGTTGTACTCTCCTCAAGTTGTGGAGAGCCCCTCTTTTGGGCTGGGAATTTTTTTTTAATGTTAATGTTTCTAGACATATGGTCTCTTCCCTGAGCACCCAGAATATGCCATAGCAGAGATGGAGACTGGCAGGATAGTTTTTCACGAGGACCTAGTGCTTTGAAAATAATAAAAATGTGACAATGTATTATTTCCTGTGGACAGAGCCATCTCCTGAAAAGGACCGCCAGACATCTCCTGAAAAGGGCCGCCTAACCAGAGTGGCCCAAGGCTCAGCATAGAAGCAAGGCCTGGTTGCACCAATGCCATCTAGAGGTTTGACTCTGTTGGGCGGAAACTCTACTCGGGAGCTTCCCTGCTCACAAGAATTTCCAACTATAATTCCTGCACGGGTGCATATCAGCAACTCCTTTGGACCTTTCAATGTTAAGCTCTCAGAAGAGGACTGGGCAATGCTTTCTATGCTGCAGAAAGAAGCTACCTCCCTGGCCCATCACCAGATACAGATAGTGAAACACCGCAGACACAGCTGAGAACATGATTGCCCATGCCATTGCCATCCGTCAAGATGCCTGACTTCGTTCCTTCGACCTGTCCATGGCCTCTCAATAAGTTATTGAAGATCTTCCCTTCGATGCCTTAGGCCTGTTCAACACAGGTACGGATGACAAATTGAAAATTAACCAAGACTTCAAACTTCTTGCCGCAAAGTGTGGGATGCCGACTCAAACCCACTAGCATCAGTCAACTAAGTGGCACAGTCAACTAAGCTACAGGCGCTTCAACCAACCTGCTTACTTCCACCAGCAGGGGGCATCTCCTGTGCCTCAGCCACCCACTATCCTCACCAGAACCAGAGACAACGAAAAAGCCCAGCCACTAGCCAACTCAAGCGCAAGGTTTGAAGGTGCACACGATGATGCCGACTCCTCAGATACTGCTGCCGCCATCACACTAACCCAACCACCCCCTTTGCTCACTCTCTTCAGTTCCCAAGGACCTTCCCCTACCACTCTTTGCCAAATGCCTCACACACTATGTGATAGTGTGTGGATAGCAGGTGGCTGAGGCACAAGAGATGCTTGGGCTACCATCACCTCATGTGTGAGTGCTCAGTTCTCCTGCAATGGAGGGGAACACTGTTTTACAACCCCCACCCCGATCCCTCTCATCCTGAAAGTACTCGAGCGCATCATGATATTCTGCACAAACTGGATTCTAAAAGCACCAGCCTGGCCAAGACAAGTCTGGTATGCCACCCCTCTACGTCTCTCCTATGGTTGTTGCCATAAGTTCCCAACCCTCCCACACCTCTTCCCGGTGGAGGATGAATAGCTCCTTCACCCAGATGTGACCTCCCTCCCCCTGATAGCCTGGAGGATCAAACCCTAGACTGTTTTTGATGCGACCTCTGGGACATACTCTGAGCAGCCCACAAGCTCTCTACCTCAAAAGCCTATGCATACAAAATCTCATGATTCGTGGCCTTTCTTGAATTCTGGGGTGCATCGCTGACCACGGCATCGGTCCCAGATGTACTTGACTTCCTCCTCACCTTCTCTTCAATCAAGGTCTACCTAGCTGCAATTTCCTGGTCTTTCCAGCAGAGAGGCAACTTATCTCTCTTCACACCTGGTCAAGACCTTTCTCTGATGGTGCAATAATCTTCACCCTTTTATCCATCCCCTGATGCTGGGATGGAGTCTTGAACTCATCTTCTCCCAGATTTACGGTCCTCCTTTCGAGCAACCCACCATGACTGACCTTCGATTGCTCTCATGGAAAATAGCTTTCCTCAAAGCCATCACGTTAGCCCATCGCCCTTCCAACTGGTGGCTCTGAGGGTTGACGAGCCCTACCTCATCTTCTACTGGAACCAAGCTGTTCTCCATACTTTCTCCCAAAGGTGGTGGCCACCTTCCACACTAGGCACGAGATCATCCTCCTGGTCTTTTGCCGGTCCCCTACATCCTCCCTGGAGAAAAAAAAACTGTCCCTCCTGGATGTCAGAGGGCCACTGCTCTTCTACAGAGTCAGAACTTAGTCTATAAGTAAGACCTCTCGACTGTTCATAGCCTATGTGCAAGACAAGCTAAGCCTGCATATCCTGTCTCATTGGCTCTCTCACTGGATCTCCTCTGCCATCAAACTTTGTTACCAACTGGCCTGTCAACCTCTTCCATTCACTATTTGGCCTCTCTCAATGAGAGACATGGCAGCCTTGGCATCTTTCCTCTGAGGCATCCCTCTGGACTCGCATCTGCAGGGCAGCAATTTGGGCCAATCCTTTAACTTTTGTGTCCCATTACATATTGGACTTGAGGTCACATGCGGACACTGCCTTTCTCTATCCTGGCCTAGCCACCAGACCTCCCCATGCCCCACACAGGGCTTAGTGCCCCCTCTCAATTGTACCAATATTAGACAACAAGTTTTTCTCTGTATTTTAACAGATGCTTTATTGAGAGTTTTCACAATGTTTATACCAAGAACACTGTAAAGTTTCTCTCTTGTTCTGCGCCATCCCATATGGTGCCTGTTGTTGCGCTAGATTATCAGACTTGTTTGTATTGAACGATATTCCTTCCCAACTACAAGAACGTGTCCAGAGAAGGGCAACCAAAATGATCAGAGGTCTGGAAGACAAGCTTATGAGGAATGGCTTAGGGAGCTGGGCAAGTTGGAGAAGAAAAAAAGGACGTGATAGTCATGTTTAAATATTTGAGAAGATGTCACATTGAGATGGGGGAAAGCTTTTTTTCCCTGCTGCTCTGGAGGCTAGGCATGGAGCAATGGATTCCAATTGAAGGAAAAGAGATTCCACTTAAACATTAGGAAAATCATCTTGACAGTAGGAACTTTTGGATAGTGGAGTATGCTGCCTCAAAGTGTAGTGGAATCGCCTTCTTTGGAACTTTTAAAACTAAGGCTGGATGGCTTTCTGTTGTGAGTGTTCTGATTTTGTTTTCCTGTATGTCAGGTGGTCGGACTTGGATGGCCCATGTTTTTTTCCCACCAATATGATTCTATATTTACCTTTTATCTTTCAGCCTAAAAAATTAAATAAAAAACATGAAGCTTTGCTGCTTCAAGAATAATATCAGTAATTTTTTTGTTCCGAGGAGATTTGAAAACTTTTTTTGATGCTTCTCAAGAAATGTTCTACGCATGTTGCCTGGCAAACTGCTTTTGAAATCAAAGGGAACTTCAAAGGGAACTTGTGGTATGGGTCTCAACTGTTCAAAGCAAAACAGTAAAAACATTCATTTGGGTAATATTAAGTATGTTAAGCTACTCTAATACACAGCTTCTTAAATTATGGATCAGGACCTTAAATGAGGTCACAAAGTCTGTATGTTGATATTGCCATTTCTGCTTTCTCTTCTCTCTCTTGTGTCCTTCTCTTTCTGCTTTCCCCCTTTCTCTCACATGCGGGGTCGCTTAAAAAATTCTTGGGTACAAAGTGAGTCAAAAAAGTTCTAATAAGCACTTTCAATCGCTATCAAAAAGACAGTAATAAACATTTTCTTCTTTTTATTTCAGGTTAATGGTAAAAACTATCCTCAGGCCAGACTGCTTTTGGGACAAATGGGAGCACTGCATCCAGCTAGTCGACTAGCTGCTTATCTCACAGGCAGGTTGCGCCCAGCGATGCTTGATCTCTCAACAATCAGTACAGTCGTATCCAAAGTGGCCTCCAGTACAAAAGTGTCTGCTCCTGAGTCAAAGACAGCTGAGGTGCCCACATCAGAAACTTCAAAAATAATGCTTTTAGATAACACTGGATTGAATTCTACAGTAACATCACCAAACACTCATGCCTCAACGCAGAGACAAATAGGTATGTTGCAATCTTGTGTGTGTATCTTCAAGTTGCCTGCCAACCTTTAGTGATCTCATGGATTTTGTTGAGTTTTCGCAGGCAAGAAATACTCAAGAGGTGTCAGGGGCTATACTTCATCCAGTGATGCTATTAAGTCTGTGTCAAAAGTGTTGAATGGAAAAATCCCAACCAGTGCCTTGACTGAAGAGTTAACGTCACTTCCTCACAGGCTTTTCCTCCATGCATAGGCCCATCTTTTGAATAGTTCAGCTCTTGAGCAGTATATGCTAGACCCCTTTTCTGTATGGTCAGTGGCACCATGCAAGACACTGTTTTCTCTGGCAGTATTTCTTACATGGAATCCCCTAACCAAGTAGTTTGGATCAGTATATTTATTTCTGTTCTATGGATGCTGTTTCTGTAAGTTTTAAACATCAGTGTTGATTAAGTTACTGATTGGTTTCTTCCTTTTTTCCTGTATGGTAGTTCGAATTATTGATTTAAAAAATCCTTTAAATTTGATTTTGGTTGAAATCTGTTAGTTATGGGTAGCTCCAAAAATAGAGGAAATGTGGAATGCTTTAAAAAATATAAACCAAAGTACATCCTGCCTTCTAGTGTAAGATATTTTTTGTGAAGTTTGAGGAGAAAGTCATATTCAGGAAGGCATTGTGAACATTCCTTATTTTGAAATTCCCCCGTTTTAGCTGTCCGGCCGTTACTGGGCTGTGTCACCTCTCAATTGGTTATGAATGCTGTTGGAGTTCTACAGCAGAAAATTCCAGGAACTGTAATACCCCAACCTTTGACAGGACCACAGAAATTTAGTATCAAGTCTACATCACTTTCTCTTGAAACAACTACAGTTGCTGCTGCTAATGCCGCAACTGTTGCTATGGCACCACTTCCTTTAACTACTACTAGCCCAACACAATGTAACAAAGCTATATATTCTCCTAGCATTTATATAGCAAATGCTACTGAGAAACCAGAAAATAGCACTGCATCAGCTGTAACATCTGCAGTTACTGTTAGAGTAATAACATCATGTGGATAGCTGCACCAGTTGCAACCACTGCTTTTGCCAAGTCTACAATATTCACATCACCTCCACTGTCAACATCATCCTTATCTACAGTTTCATCGACAACTGGATCCATAGCCACAGTCTCTACGCCAACTTCACCAAGTGGCTCTGTTGGTTCTACGTCCTCAGGAATTCACAGAAGTCCATTATCAAATGAAAAATCAGGTATGATGTCTACTAATGGCCAGTTTGTACCTGTTCCATGCATTTCTGGTATTACTGTGAGGGGAGGCAGTGCTTAACATAAACAGACTATTATGAGGAATTCCTAGGATCCCTGGTGTTTGAGTTCCCAGGCTGTCTTAAAACTGTTAATTTGATTATTCTATGTCCATGGGCTTGCAATCTAGAATAGCAATAAGAAAAAGAAGATGGCTGTGAGAGGTGGTATTAAGGCCAGAGATAAGACATTTCACATGCATTTAGAGGTTCTTGGCCTTTTAAAATAACCAAATTGGGCAAACCACTCCATTAGATAGAATGAGTTTGCCGCCAGCACATTGTGACGGGCAACTATTTATTTATTTATTTATACACTTGTATACCGCTAATATCTCAGCCTAAGTCGGCGACTCATTGCGGTTTA